CAGAGCTGGAAGGTGAGCACCAGGACGAGCGCCTGGGCGCGGGCCATGGCCGGGGCGCCACCGTCTGCCCCGGGGCCCGGCGCGGGAGGGGGAGGCGCTGCCGCCGGAGCCCGTGGAGCCTGAGCCCGAGCGGAGCAGCGCGGCGCAGAGCGGGACTGGCGCCGAGTCCGGAGCGCGAGCCGGAGCAAGCGGGGCGCTGACGTCAGGCCGGGCCCCGGGTTCTGCGGTCTCGCGGCGCCCCCTGCTGGCAGCGGCGCACGAAGTTCCCAGGGTCTCGCCACCCTCCGGCCCCGCCGCGCCCCTCCCCCACCCTGGCACCCCTGCCTGGAAGTCCCTTGGTCTCTGCACGCACTAGGTACCAACATTCTCATTGCCTGTTCCCAGCTCCCGCATAGCGTTCTCAAGGACAGTGACCCAGGGGCACCTCGCCTCTCCTATGATCCTTGAGTTCCACCTTCCTTGGCCTCCCTGAACATGCTGCACTCATACCACCCCCAGGACTGGACGTTCATCTTTTACCAAAGGGGCCTTGAGTCTGGAGACGTTGGCTTTCAGAAAGTTCTCCTTTCCATAGCATAAAATACACCTCCCTCACTAACCCTCCCTGGTCCCACTCTACTCTCTGCTGCACAAGTTGAGTGCATTTGGGCCTCTACCCAGGAGGAGCTTTTGCACTACGATCCACAAACTAGTTTCCATTGCCAGGTCAGTCGAGCCACCTCCTATGTACTTCCCCATCGAACTCACTTCGTCCCCTCCATAACCCTGTTAGACATATATCATTATATTCCCACATGCCATTGAGGAAACTGAGGTACAGAGAGAACGGTGACTTTTCCAAGGTTATGCATTTGTATGGGGCAGCACGGAGATTTGAATCAAGCTCGTGTAGCTTGAATTGAATAGATTCTGAGACCCATTTGGAAACCCACTCATTTCCCGAATACTTACCAGGTACTGATTCATTTATTCAACAATGACAATTGGCCACGTTGGAAATAGAAAACAAACCGAAAAACTCCCTTCCTTCATGGAGCTTATATTCCAGAGAGAAGAGAAGAACAACAATAACAAAAAGCAAACTCTCTGGTGTAAATCCTTTATCACTGTCTCGTATGCCAGAAAATTGAGGGGGAAATGGGGGAGCGGAGATTGTCGCAGCTCTGAACAGAGCAGCTATCATTTGATGGATTCATTACCATCTCCACCTCTAGAAGGGAAGCTCACCTAAGGACTGTCTTAGAGCCCAGTGCCTGGTATCTGGCATGGAGTTGGGCTCACTAAATGTTGGATGGATGGACAAATAATAAATGAATACACATCGACATGGTCTTTGCTTTCATGAAGCTTACACAACAGCAAACAAATAAATGTGTAATTACAATGTGAGATGTGTGCCCTAAAGGAAATGGATGGAGTACTGTGATGAAAAATATGGGAAGAGAGGTTTCCTTAGACAAGGTGGTCCAAGAGGGCTTCTCTGGGAAGTGACATGACTGGAAGTGATATGACTTCTCTGGGAAGTGACAGCCACTGGAGCTGAGACCAAGGAGCCAGCCCCAGGCAAGTCAGCAAGAAGGAACACTGGAGCCAGAGGATACAACCTGTGCAAAGCCAGGAGCTGGTGTGTTAGGAGCAGCAAAGAAGCCAGGGCATCTGGAGTGGAAAGAACATGGAGGAGAGGGGAGCCAGCTGCAGCTGGAAAGGTCAGCAGACTCTCAGGTCTTGCAAGAAACTATAAGCAAGGAAGAAGCTTGGGTTAAACCCTAAGAGCAATGGGAAGCCACTGAAGCATCAACCAGAAGAGCAATAACCTCCAATTATTTCAGTCTCCCAAGAAGTTGGGAATGACATTAGATGGAACCTAGGAGTTCAAGGCATGCATGAGCCCTCTGGTTTCTGCCTCCACTCTCCTTAGGTTCACACTAAGGTTGGGACTCCTAGAAGCTGCCTTAGGACTGGAGGAGGCAGAGCTGAGCATTCCTGGGCTCTTGGTCTTCTCTCTGATGAGCTCCAGGCTGAGATTCAGAAGGGGGCAAAAGACAAGAACCACAGGCAGCAAATTAAACACAGAGTCATAGGGAGGCAGAGGTAAAAGAAGGAAAAAGTGATGAAAAAAGAACAGTGATGAAAAAAGAACTCTGGAGCAAAGACGGGACCATCCAGAAAAAGAAAACTGGTGAACAGAAACAACAGCCAATGATGCTGTTTGCAGAAGACTCTGAGGGGAGCCTCAGGCCAGGAGTTAACTGGTGATCTCACTTTATGGGAGTGGAAACAGGCTCTGAGACCATAAAGCACTTGCCTAAGGTCACAAAGCTAAATGGTGGGCCCAGGACTTGTACCCAGAGCTGATCCATTCCACACTCCTTTGATTCTTGTGCAGGGGGAGGCCACAGAGACTATTTTTTCTTTAAGACCGTAACCTTCTATCATCCTCAAGAGAAGAAGGAAAAAGGAAATTCCTAGTCCTGACTGATCAGTCCAAATCTAGGGAAATGGAGACTGTGCTACAAACAGTTCCAGGCCATGAGGAAATTAAATTACCTGCAACTCATGGAATATTTATGATGCCTTCCCTGTGCCAGGCCTCGTACTGAGTGCCAGTGTCATGGAGATAAACCAAACATCTTGCCTGGAGCCCCACTCTTGTTGGGCGGGGGGGCATATAAATGACCATGAGACAGTGCCCTAAAGGCCATAGCATAGGTCCAGAGAAAACACAAAGGCAGCAGAGGTTGATTCAATAAAATGGTATCTGAACCTGGAATTTCCCTGGTAGGTAAGAAGGGAAGAGCATTTCAGGCAGAAGGATCAGCCTGAATAAAAGCATTAGATAAGGAAGTGCTAGCAAAGGTGGGTATCAGGTGCAGTTGGATCATAGACTGTACACAGTCCAATAGAACATAAAGCTGGAAAGACAGGGTGGGAGTCAAAGTATAAGGACAAGGCCAGGACAATTGGACTCGAACCCCTCAATCAGTGGTTCTCAAACTGCCCCTAGGAGAACCCAGATGGCCTAAAAGTGACTAAAAGTGAGACCTATAATAGGGTTATACAAAGGAACAAAATCCAGCCCTAAGAAGAAAGACTTGCTGAATGATTCTCCAGGCTTCATGGTTAGGCTGCCTAGGGATTCAGAAAAAATTCAGATTTCTACCAATATGGTAGAAATGATTGTGGTAGATGTCACCTAGGGAGTTTTAGAGAGTTATTTTATACCTCCCACTATAAGTAGCCCTCTGTGTCACTGTGAAAATAGGTGAATAGGACTGTGTTTTGTGTGCACATTCATGTGTGTGTGCTCACACAACTGTGGGATCAAGTCTTTCCTCTACCATGGGACACCAACTTTCTTTCATAATAAAAATCAGTACAGACATTTATTGAGCCTGTACTATGAGCCATCTCTAGTGTTTTAAACATGATATTTCTCAAAGAATCTTCACAATAACCCCCTGGTAATAGCTATCAAATGCTTCTATGTGCCAAGCAGTGTGCTAAGTGCTTCAAGTGAGTAATACCTCACTTGACACTCACAACAACCTTGAAACAGATAACTACTAGTACCTCAATCCCCTCTCCTCCTTCCTTCTTTTTTCTGTGCTAGGGATTAAATCCAGGGCCTCATATATGCTAGGAAAACACTTCACCACTGAGCTACACACCAAATTCTATTCCCTTTATTTTAACCATAAGGTAAGGAAGACGCAGAGAAGCCAAATGACTTGTCCAAAATCAAACAGCTGGAAAATGACAGAGGGACTCAAAGCCAGATTTGCCTAAGTCCAGTTCTCACACCTTAATCATCATACTCTGCTGTGCTCTATTCCTCAGAGGAAAGATTCTAGATGGAAGCTTCAGGTCAGTAAAATCCAGCTACTTATCTTTCAAAGCCCTGGCTTTCCGAAAGCCTGTTCTCCGGGCCACTTGCATCGTGATATGCTTGGGAACTTGTACAGATGCACACCCCTGGACCTGTCCCCAGTTCGAATTCAGTGGGTCTCAGATCTACCCCCACGTATTTTCACACACACAGATGATTTCTGAACCAGGGGCTGGTTCCAAAGGCACTTCCTCCAAGCACCCCACCCCCACTCCAGAGCCCCCCTTTTCTTGGGGCTATGGTCTTGCACTCTGGCGTGTGTTAACGGTCAGCTGGGGTCTGTTATGTTCGCATCTTCCCTCCACCAAAAATATGACCTAGCATCTTTGCAAGGTGATATCTTTTACAAAGAATCTGCAGTTTCCCACTTAATCTCTTTCTACACTATGAGCATCTTGAAAAGGCGCCCTGTTGCTTGTGATTTTCTCCTTATATCTGAATACACTTAATATTTTTACAATGTCCATGATAATATTCTTATCACTTGCCCAAACTAAGAAGAGGCAGGACTCAGATTGGAACTTAAATTTTCTAACTCCGAGCCTAGGATCACCGGGAGTTTGAGGCCACCCTCAGCTACACAATGAGTTCAAGGCCAGCCTGAACTACATGGGGGTGGGGGGCGACAAAACATGTCTCCAAAAAACAAAACAAAACAAAAAACTAACTCTAAGCTTACAGTCCTGTTTTCCTACCACCTTACATCTGCTCTACTCAGTATAGGGAAGTAAGGTTTGCCTCCCTGTGTGGCTCCAGGGTAGGGAGGATTAAAGAAAATAGTATTTTAAAGTGCTTGGCACAGTAAGAGCTCAGTAAATGGTGGGAAGGGGAAACGGAGGCCAAGAAAGGGTAAATGACTTCTCCCAAATCAAAGACCAAACCGCAGGCTGCAGACACACCTTTAGACCAGTCTTAGACACTCTATGTCGGGAAAGCGCTTTTGCGGACTCAGAAGTTGCAACTTTCCCAGGTCCCACCCTGGTCCCCCAAGCCTGGCTTCCCACTCGGTCTAGGCAGGCGCCACCGCGCGGGCAGCGGAGGAAGGAGAGAGCCCTTTAAAGAGGCGTGGCCACGCCGTGAGGCGGAGCGGAGATGGAGTAGAGGCACAGGCGCCGGTCGCGGAGAGATGACGTTTCCGAGTACTCCAAATTGTGTAGGCTGCAAGGAGCATGTGGGTCCGCTGCGCGCTGTGGGGGGCGCGAACCCCAGCGCCGCTGCGCCTAGGGCTGCTCGCATCTTGGCAACGCCACTGTCGTGCAGCCTCTTCCTACTCCGCATCCGCCGATCCTTCCCGGGTACGGGCGCTGGTCTATGGGAACCACGGGGATCCAGTCAAGGTTGTCGAGTAAGAGAAGGCGCCGAAACCGGGACGGGGGCTCGGGCTCCTGGAAGGTTTTTAAACGGGCTGTGCCTGGGAAAGGAGGGTCAGGGTCCTAGGAAGAAGACAGAGTAGCAAGACCGAAATTGAAGCACAGGGAGCATTTGGTAGCTTAGAAAGTCCGTGCTTGAGGTAGCTGAAGACCCGAGAGGCACAATTGTAAGAGTACAGCCTGACGTTTATTGATTAGATTTACTGTGTGTCAGCCAATCCTTTGCTTAAGCGAATGTTCAAATGTAATTGTCATAACAATGTTTTGGAGTAGTTACTGGATTCCCATTTTGCAGATGAGAAAACCGAGGCACTCGCTTTCCCAAAGTTACACAGCCAGTGACAGAAAGTCTCCTTACTGACCGACCCATCTCAGTTCTTACCTTATTTTTTAGAGATTTTCAGAACACGTTTACATCCATTTGGAACCTCATTTCTCAGTTAAGTAATAGATTATTGCTTCTATTTTACAGAAAGCAAGTATCGAGCCAAAGTGATACAGCTAATAAGTGATTGAACAAAGACTGGAATAATGACTTATAACTCCTGTCTCATATGAGTTCCTCTCTACTACACCATTTGTGCACCTTGACCTAGTTAAAAAGGGCTCTTCTAGAGCCTTACAGGCCTAAGGTCAAAGACAAGTTCAGCCCTTTTGGTAGCTGGTTGATACTAATCAATATCAAAGTCACTCAATATCTCTGAGCTCTTTACTTTTCTGAGCATGTCCTCCAATTCTGTTGGATCTTAATTCATTATCTTTGCGTGTCGCTGATAAAAACAGTATGTGAATGTCAACCATTAATAAATGTGCACATAAATAACTAGCCATTCAAGAGGGTGGCTGGAGCGGAGCTAAGGCAAAAGCACAGATCCTGGAATCGCAACACCTGGGGCCAAATCTTTGTCCTAACTTTTCCTAGCTATGTATGTTTGGCATGTTACTGAAGTTCTTGGAGCATTGATTTCATCATATTTAAGGTGATTTTTTTTTGGTACTGGGGATCGAAGTCGGGACCTTGCGCCAGTGAGGCAGGCGCCAGAACCACTGAGCTAAATCCCCAGCCCGATTTCATCATATTTAAAATAGAGACATACAGACATAACCCACAAGGCTAAACAGCCAAAAATCACCTCCATACTCCCATTGGTCTCGGCTCTTTAATTCTGTTTGATTGTTTTCCTAGGGATGGACTTATTGTAATGGATTAAATACAGGCTAGATGTTTTGGCAGGTAGAGAAAAGCCTCAGATAAATTAAGGTCTTCCCCTGAGCCTAGCCACATCCACCTTTAGAGCAATTAAAAAGAATATCAAGAAGACACATTATTGGGTATGGTGGCCTATGCCTGTAATCTCAGCACTTGGAAGGGTGAGACAGGAGGATTCCCTGCAGTTCAAGCCCAGCCTGGACCACATAGCAGCCTAGGGCAGCCTAGAATATACAGAGACACCCTGTCTCAAAAATAAACAAACAAGGGCCCCGGGTTTAGCTCAGTGGTTCTGCTGCCTCCCTCGCAAGTGCAAGGCCCCGAGTTCGATACCCAGTACCAAAATAAATAAATAAACAAGCAAAAGACACATCAGTTGGTAAATCCAAACTATTTTGATGATAGATAATAAATCATGTCAGAGAAGACATCTCCTGAGGACTGTGCTACAGTGTGCTGGCAAAGCTCTGTTGCACACATGTCCATTTAGAGGAATGCACCCCAAGCAAGAACACTGTAGTGCCTATCCCACAGGCTTGTATATCTCTGTCTGGTGCTGGACTTGCCACAAACCAGGTGCCCCGTAATGTTAACTGAATCTGATTCTGATTTCATTAGGAAATACATCTTTTATTGAGTTTTACTGTGGTGATGTGGGTGGTCTGAGCAGGTTAAGCAGCGAGTACAGCTTCCTCCTGATTACTCCCTTCTCTTGGAGAGCCAGGGAAACTAGAACAGACCAGTCTGTCTACAGATGCCACTTAGGAGAAAAACCACATCTTGTCTCCTCTAGTAAATTCTCTGATGTTCAAAACATAATACTTCTTTAAAGCACTATATTCAACTTGGCTTCACAGCTCAGTCACCTGTGGCACTGGTAAAAATATTCCTAGGCCCCACACCTGATGTTCTTAGTAGGTCTGGGATGCCCTGGAGCATCTGTGTCTTTTCAATCTGTGCATGTTACCAGGTGACTGCTGCCTGGCTAAGGGTTGAGAACCACTACCCTGTGAATAGTAATTCTCTCTCTCCTAGAAGGGAAGTGCACTTTTCCCTTCTGACCCAGATTCAGGCATCATTGCTTGTTCATGTATGGGCTGAGGCCAGAGACTGGGATTCTCTTAGGAGGTTTAGGGTTACTCCACTGTCACAGAAAGAATCAGGTGTCCTTTACACATCCCAGTGACTGGATGTCTGGATCAGGTTACACCTGTAGGGTCATGGAGCTACCCAGAGTCCAAACAGAGCATTCCCAGACCGGTTTGTGATGCCTGCACTTTAGGCCAGAACCCTGGGAAGAGGAGGGAAGGATGAGGAGCAATCTGCCCGGGCTCAGAGTTTGCAGAGCTTCTCATACTGAGGCCTCCTGTTCCCATGTTAACATTCTGAATGTCCCTGCTTTCCTTCCCTTTGCCCCCTAAGCATTCCAGCTCTTCTAAGCCATATTTCCCTCTCTCTTAGTTTCTTTCCCTTCCTCCTCAGATAAGCCCCCCTAAATAAATACTTGGTGATTTTCATTTAAAAGATTGAACAGCTGATCTAAATAAAATCAGACTGCTCAAGAGAATTACAAACATTCTAGAAATGTCAGAGGTCCTTGTGGCCATTGTCCCTCTGGCAGAGTTCTGTACTCTGCCAGATAGTTCCCATAAACCCTCATGTTCTTCTCTTTTTTTTGTCTCCAAAGGTCCCCTCAGAATTTTGCCATTCTGAGTGTTATGTTGGGCAGAGCTCCCATTTATTGCATACATATTATGTAGTAAGTACAGTATTAGGCTAATTTCTCCACATATATAATGGAATTTTAAAATCACAATAGGAGGTGGGTATGGTGGCACACATCTATAATCCCAGCACTTGGCAGACTAAGCCAGGAGGATCACTATGTGTTTGAGGCCAAGCTGGGCTATATAATGAGTTCAAGGCCAGCCTGAACTATGAAATAAAACTCTGTCTCAGAAATAAATAAATAAATAAAATAAAGGGCCGGGGATTTAGCTCAGTGGTTCCGGCCTCAGCCTTGCAAGCACAAGGTCCCGAGTTCAATTTCCGGTACCAAAATAAATAAAAAGGGCTGGAGGTGTAGCTCAGTGTGAAGGCCCTGAGTTCAATCACCATCACTGAAAAATAACAGTAGGGCCAGGGTATAAATAGTAGAGCCCTTTCCTGGCATATGTGAAGCCCTGGGTTCAGTCCCCAGTGCCAGAAAAAGAAAAAAATCACAATCCAATTTGGTCATGGTTACCTTAGTTTACAAATAAGGAAACTATGGCTCAGGAATATTGAAAGATACTTTCCCAAGATTATACAACTAGGATGGGTCTTTTTGGCTAAAATGCTTAATAGAGACCTTGCCCTGAGGAAACAATGACAGTCATCTCAAGAGTTTGCTCCCCTTTTCAGATCCTGAAGCTTTCGTAAAACAGCATCCTGATCATGGCCCTCACCTGCCTGCTGCTGGTACAAGATAAGACTAAGCTGGAAAACCCTTGGACACATACTCATTGTGTCATAAACCAGATGGAATTTAGGGGAGCAGGTGGTGGCACCCCAGGCTATGGGTATAGTGTGTTCTCACTCTAAGGTACTGTTTATTCTCAGGAGATTTCTTCTTTTACATTTGATGTCAGTGATTAAAACCAAAACTATGTGGGTAAAAAATTATAATTCTTGGAAAAAAAATTTTAGCATTTGGTGCGCTGTTGAGGGCTCTTTTTCATAGTCACAAGTGAAAGGAGCCAGAGCAGAACTCACTAACTTAATAAGTTAGCATTTATTCTTTGAGGGCCTACTAAGTACAAGGCACTGAAAATACAGACACACAATTTGTGATCTTTACCCATAGGAAATCCACAGGAGGGAGGCAGGGCACCATGGCCTAGTGGGGTACATTCAGAGTACAGTGGAAACCCAGAAGAGGGGTCCCTCACACCCTGGGGTGGGAGGTCAGAAATGCGTTCTCTAAAGAGAGGAGGTCAAGTCCTGCAGAAGACGGAGTGAGTGGTGTAGAGGAGAGAAAATGTAAAAGTGTTCCAAACAGAAGGACCTTCATGTGCAAAAACCCAGAGGGAAGAGGAAACACGATGTATCTGAACAACTAGCATTATCAAGCACCTGCTCTGTGCTCAGTGTGTAATCCAGTGAGACATGGATCTGCTGAACCAGCTCAGAGGAGCTGACCCAGGGGTCACCAGATTTACGCTCCAGCCCAGCAGATGCCATGTCCTATAACACTCTTTGTCACTTGCCATCTGCACTTCACTTGAGGCTGTGGAGTTCAAGACAGAGCTTTCCTACCCTAGATTCCTCATTCTTGCCTCCAGGGTGAGACTTGCAGGCATATAAAGGAATTGCACAGTAGGCTGGGTTTCTCCCGATGCCCGGAGCTTCTAAGGACTGCTGTCACTCAGTGCAACTCTGAGGCCTTGTCCCTGTCTACCTCTCCAACAGCTCCTGCACCTCTGGCCTTTCCATGGGTGGGGGACAGGGCTCATTTTAGAGGCAGATAAAAAAATATGACACAAGGCTCAGTCTCCATTCTTTTCATTTGCTCTTTGATAAAACAAAGGGTTTGACTTAGATCAGCAGTGGTAAATAGGGACATGCATCCTGCCCCCCATCTTCTGTGTCAGCCTCAAAACCTACACACCTTTCCTCCGTTACCCCCCAAGCAACGTGTTTTTCCTGCCAAGACGAAGTAACACTTTGTATTAGCTTTTTATTGCAATAACAAAATACCAAAATAATTAACTTAGAAAAGGTTTA